AAATCAGACAGATAGTTTTCGATTTTAACTTTTTGTTTCCTATAAGAAAGATAGTTAATAAGCCATTCAAAAAATTTACCATGAAAACCCATGGCTAATAATTTCCTAGAGAGGATACTATGATCAACCCTGTCGAACGCCCTGGAGAAATCGGTATAAATGACATCCACCTGATACCCCCCCTCCAAGGCATCAAACAGGACCTGCTCAAACTCCAACAAATTTGAAGTGGTTGACTTGCCCTTCATAAAGCCATGTTGTTCTGGTGTAATTAAATGCTTAAATAAAGGTGTAATTTTGTCAGTTATGATAGCTTCGAAAATCTTTGAAAAAATAGAGATTTTGGAGATAGGGCGGTAATTCTTAACATCACAATTGTCCCCACTCTTGAAAATTGGAGTTACATAACTCAATTTCCAAACATCAGGGAAGGTTCCAGTTGATAGTGATTTATTAAATATTTGAAACAAAACAAAAGAAAAAAACAAATGCAGTTCTTGAGAAGACACACAGGAATACCATCTGGACCGCATCCTACATTCTTGAGTTGATAAATTTTGTTGTAAACATCTATGGGTTCTATAATGATATCACCCAGATTGACAGAGAGGTCGCTAGATATATTCATCTCCTTGTGGTCATAGGAGGTGTATACTGATGAGAAGTGTTTACAGAAAAGATTTGAGATACCCTGGGGCGTATCACTTTTTTGTTCGCCAAAGATCATTGAAGAAGGAAAACCTTTTGTGTCTTTCTTAGAGTTTATGTAACTCCAGAATCCATCCCTTTCCTGCAATCTCTCCTCAATACTATCAAGATAATTTTGATGACTGATTGGGGCATACCGTCGACATTCTGAGCGAAGTTGGGAGAATTTTTGATAATCCAACAATGATGATGAAATTTTGTAAGTTTTGTGAGCGGCCTTTTTATTAAAAATAGGACTTTTCAGATGGTCATCCATCCATTTAGGAAATTTTGGATTCTTATGCCTGTTTAAGGGTGTCGACATCTGAATGGAATTGTTCAATGCTTCATAAAACATTCGCACACAGACATCAACATCATGATCAGACAGAATATTATTCCAATCAGCCATTGTGAAAGTTAGTTCAAATTCTCTGAAGTTACATTGTTTAAAGTTGTAGTACCAATAATCATAGGACAAGCTTTTAGTTGTATTTACTGCCCCAATTTCAAACTCTAATGCAGGATGCGGTTTATCTAAACTTAACAGCGGACTTGCACATGGAAAAATAGTTACATCTGTTCTATTACTAAAAATTAGATCTAAAAAATTTCCGTACTGATTAGAAATTTGATTGAGTTGTGACAAGTTACAGAAAGACATGCAATCCGCCAAGCAATTTGTTTCATCTGAAGTAGCACCAATTGGTCGGCAACGATCATCATCGCAGATCCACGAAACTTTAGGACGATTAAAATCACCACAGAGAAACATATCAAGTCTTTCGCAAGGACAGTTATCCAACACATACAGAAAAAAAGAAGAATATCGCTCATATATTTCACATGATGAATTTGGGGGAATGTAGACATTACCAAACAGAAAGTGGCTGTCACCGATAGTAAGCATAACAAACAACTGTTCTAAAGAGTCTGTATTTGAGGGTAAAAGCTTACATTTCAATTCCTTTTTGACAGCAATAATAACTCCTCCACCTTGAAATTTTTCAGAGTTTGTCTTCAATGATCTATCACATCGATAAATTGTGTAGTTTCCTTGGAGTCCGATTTCGCTAGTTAGTATGTTTTCATCAAGGAATGTTTCAGTTAAGAGAATAATGTCATAATTTTCTACCATAACATTGCACACTAAATCCCTTAGCTTTGTCTTCACTCCCCTGACATTTTGGTAATAACAATGAATTTTCAGTTTTTTGGAGGCTGATTTTGAAAATTTGGCAAAGATTGCTGCATGTTGTTGTCTCTCTGCTGTCTCGGCAAATTAAAATTAAAATCCCTAAAGACAACTCCTATGGGCCAGAAATCGCAGCTATTTACTGTTTGGTAAAATTGATTGTTTACACCTACTTTAAAGGATTTTATTCGATTATCATTTTTAAGCTCTTTAACAATGACATTAGTTTCAGGTGTTTGTAGTTTGTTGCACAAAAACTTCTGAATATCTTTATCACACGACTCGGCTGAGATTCTGCCCAAGTAAAGCCATTTCCTAGTAGAATAAGGTACACTCTTGATCTCACTGGATACATTAGTGCCCATAAACAGATTTGGTTTGTTTATATTTTGCAAAGACTGGCCAGATTCATTGGTATGCGTTGAGGTAAGTTGAGCTACAAGTTCTTTGTGCCGGTTGGCATAAAAGGCATTATTAATGGCATTACTCACAAAACTTGGAGTTATCGGAGGTTGTTTTTGCGTTTTGTTTACATTTTGATTCATTAACCTCTCATTACCAGCTGATTGACTCAGTTTGCTATCTGTCCCCTGATTATGGGCCCGTCCATGGGACTTGGCCTTGGCCGCAGTATCGTCGACCTTTAGTAAAACAGCTGATTGTGGCTGAAGCTGTGTTGTCACGTTGTTCGCAGGATTTCCTGAGACTAAATCAATTTTATCATCAATGCCAATATTTAGATTTTTCAGTAATTTATTATCAAATTGGTTGTTAGCTAACTGGGCAAGGTTTTCCGTTAGTGTGCCTACAGATTCCTTCAATATTTTATTTTGGGCTACAACATCTCTCACAGCACTTTGCAGATCTTTTAAAGAACTTTGAATAATGGCGCTAAGAGAGTCTTTGATCAAATCACTAAGAAGATCCCTAGATTTTTGAACGTAATCAAAGGTTTTTGCTTCCTTGATGCAAGATGGACACCAAAAAATCATAACTCTGCCACTCTGTCGTATAAGTGCCCTTACCTCGGATGAAGAAATATCGGAGCAAGCTTTGCATACTGTTTTACCACATCGATCGCACTGAAAACCAAATAAGCGCTTCTTTTAATATGACAATGTATGAAAAAAATAAACAATTAGTTATAAATATTAATACTAACACAATTTCAACAATTATTGATGATATTGACAACATAGTTTTCTGTGTAGCATCAATTAAATCAATAAATTGAATGTTTTTTTCATGGAAGTCTCTTCAAGGATGTTGATGAGAATTTTCTGTTTTTTATAGTTATGAAATTTTTCACATAGCCTTTAGCGGCTGTATTAGACTTTCACCCGCAGGCTATTTAATTATCAGCAAATCATCCACAGAATCTACAAGCAGAGTAGGTAGTGGATGATCGCCGGAAGCAATGACTGGTTTGAGTCGCCAAACTCGACAATAAAGAATACTGGCTTCCATGGTAATGGAATAGGATACATCTCTGAACTTACGTGACAATTTAGAAATAATAATAGAAGGGACATTTTTCATGTTTTTGACTCGAATCTGAATGGATCAGATCATGATACTTATACAAAATTAGAAAACATATTGTGTGAAACACGTTGGGAAACACTATTTTCCGTAACTCGCTTTCTTTTGTGGAACTCGCTTCGCTCGTTCCGCAGAAATCTGCTCGATACGAAAAATCGTGCTTTTCCCAACTGGTTGCACAAATAACTATTTTGTGGAGCAGAGAAACTGTATCCAAGATAAACAAACATGAAACATATTATATTACCTTGCATTTTTTGGGACTTACACCTCAATTGAAATCGAGATTGAAATTAATACCAGAAGTTTCTTGATCTTGATACAAATTACTACAAGCTCTCTGATTAGAGCAATTTTACCTATCAGATTATTTTTATCAAATAGAATACTTGAATCGAGTTTTTATAAACGAATCGAGTTTTATTATTTTAATAAAATAATATTTGATTAGGTTCGGTGGTATGAGTTCTGGATTTCTTGCTGACATTTCGGTACCAAATCTGCTACCGTTGTCAAAGCTTGGGGGATGGAAAACCCGAGGGAAAACCTAAAAAATAAAAAAGGGGGCAGAAAATTGTTTGGTTTTTTCGTAAATTTGTTTGAAAAAAAAAAACAAACAATTTTCAGCCCCTTTTTTATTTTTTAGGTTTTCCATCCCCCAAGCTTTGACAACGGTAGCGGTAGCAGATTTGGTACCGAAACGTCAGCAAGAAATCCAGAACTCATACCACCGAGCCTAATCAAGTATTATTTTATTAAAATAATAAAACTCGATTCGTTTATAAAAACTCGATTCAAGTATTCTATTTTATAAAAACAATCTGATAGGTAAAATTGCTCTAATCAGAGAGCTTGTAGTAATTTGTATCAAGATCAAGAAACTTCTGGTATTAATTTCAATTGAGGTGTAAGTCCCAAAAAATGCAAGGTAATATTATAAATCCACCTCAAACATACAGACATTTGTTATGAAACATATTAATGTTAGTATGCCGTGCTTGATAAATGATGATCTACAGTGGTCTCTACTTCTACCCAATAGCTCTTTTTTGCAACACAAACTCCAACACACATATGCTGCTAAAAAGTTTATGGTTACAGAAACCCCAAAATACTACACCATATCCAATGTGTGAATCACATAAAGAAAAATAGACCATTCTTGCTATAGGAGTATCTAGTTGAGCAGATACCACCCTAATTGCAAATTAGATATATCCTCGGATATATCTTTATTCTTTGGTAGGTATCCATGAATGTACTTGAAATTCATAATAGATGGCAACATACACAGAATAGAGAGTTCTTTCATTCATGGTCACAACTGTTTCAATAATCTTTCACTTCTTCATGAATGATTCATTTTTTGTTATGTAACATACAGCTGGGTTCTTTGGTGGGTTTTGAATTTAAAGTGGTAGTTTGGGTTTAGACCGAGGTTTAGACCAATGAGGAAAATCATTTTTGTCTCTGAAGACACTCTTGGGGATACCTCAATAAAATTCCATTTTGAATAGTAAAGTAGGGCACTTGAGCACTTTGTTTACACATAAATAAGTATAGAACAGTCACTTACCGAACTTTGCCTCCACAAAACTGACATTGAGGTCCTTGCCATCCTTCGTAGCAAACACAAGTTTCATTTTTACAGACCCCATTGTCCCCACACTGGCCATTGTCCGAACACTTGCCCATAACACTTTGAATTAATAAACTAACATATAAAATAACAGTAAACAGGAATATTTGTGTGTATTTTCGCCTGTACTTGGATTTAAAAAGAAATAAGAACATTTGAAATGTTTCCAGCATTGCGTTTGTTACTTTAGTATTTTCTCGATTTGTTCATTTCTATGATAAAAATATCTTTAGGTGAACTTTTAGATTGAGTTGTTTTTGGCTATTCTCTATTCGGGATTTAGTTAAGTAGATTCGAAGGGTGAAATCCTCATTACATAGATTTATTTCTTTGGTTCCTGCACTAAAATATTTGATGTTGGAAACTACCGATATTACTATTATTGTATTGCACCAGATTTAATTGTTTATTTTAATCGTTATTAATATTTTTCATTCAAATAAACATTTTTGAAATGTACATTTTCTTTTCTCTTTTTCTTTATTTACTTTTTGACTTTGTTGACATATTTTATTTTGACTGTTATCTCCACTTGGCTGCGTTCCAGTATCCTATCCGGGTATATGTCGGTGGATTGTACCGAGAGCGAGTGGGATTTTTAGCCGCACTGCTTTGAGTACTCGGACTTCGGAGCAAGGACAAGAAAACTTAAAGGGGGTGTTCACTCACACTCGTATGCACAGTATGAACTTGGGAGTTTAATCTCGCTTAGTCCGAAAATTTGCATATAAAAAAAGTCCCAATCTAGTTTTAGTAACTAATCTGGATTAAATAAAGTCCTTTTAAGCTTACTTTTCATGCATCCGTTTTTCCATCAGTCCGTTGATCCGGGAGTATTCTCATTGGTCCAATATTTTTACGCCAAAATATTGGACATAATAGGAATACTTGATCAACAGATTATTGACCGAAAAACGGATGCATGAAAAGTGAGCTTTTCGGTGCATTTGGGCGTTAAGTGCTTTTCTTGCGTCAAGCAGATCTTAGCAGCAGAACCATATTACAGGTGAGTTCGGCTTGGCAAAACGGAGTTGGAGCGGATAAAGAGCAGTTTCATTGTCACGTGATCACAGAGTGAAAATAGTAAAATGGTTAAGCCGAACGCATCGCAGGGAGCAAGTAGGTTAGCCGCCGCCCGCGAATGCCATGGGCGTTTGCGCAAGGATGTTCAAGAACATTCCATTTTATTATTGGTGGGTACGATAAGTCCGAACTACTAACTACTGACACTTTTTACCCTGACCTGTCATTAATGTCGCACTTTTTACACCATTCGTACCGTTCAGCATTCCATTTTCCGCTGTAGCTTAGATGGTTGCGTTCCAAAACATAACTGCACCGCACTAACGCTAACCGGTTCAGACAAATCGTACGCACCATATATTATTAAACAATATCATTAAACAATTGTTCCCAGATAAAAAAATCTAATTTTCAAAGTAACATAAAAACGAAAATATTTACTACTTTTTTCTTTTATTAGCATTTTTTCATTATAAGAACAAAATTATTCCCATCACAAACCGTAACATGTATTGCGGATATTTTGGGGAGCGAAGCCATTTTTTCTATCAGGAGCCCCAGGAGGCACCCAGACCCTAATCAAAAAATATCTTCTTCGAGCTCTTCAGGTTAGGATCGTTAGGAGAGCGAATTATCGAAAACCTAAATTTTACCGCCTCTTGGAAATATAGGAAGTGCGCATGCCTGCTCCTCGAGCTTCAGCTCTCGAGGTGGTGCTTGTGGAGTTAACTCTTTCCACCCTACTTGGCTGTACCCGAACGATGAGGAGCTTGCACTATCTGCTCCCACTGGCGTGACCCGAACGATTTTGCAGTGAAAAGGGTCAAAGGAGTCAAAAGAGTTGCCAAGCCGAACTCACCTTACATTAGTGCTCCTAACATCTTTTCTATGCTCGGACCGGACGTAACGTTTGATACATGCATAAGCTTAATCCTCACTTACACGAAATTCGCTCTTTTTTTGACATTGCTTCGACAAATTGTCGTTTTGCGTATATCAATAAACGTCTAATGGCCGTTTCCACCAACTATTTTAGGGGAGCCCTAACGATAAGTATTCCCTAAAATGACATTTTTACATAGAGAAATGTCAGTTTAAGGAATACTTAGGTCGCTTATTTCCAACTGACGCTTTTGAGCACTCAATCGAGCTTTTGCGCGCGCAAATGCTTCAAGCGCGTGTTTCTGTTCCAGCCGTACTGGGCTTCGAGAGCTGCTAACTTTTGCGTTTCAAACACAGAACACTGTGCTGCACCGTGCTTGAAGCACACAGCTGGAAAGCGGCTTTAGCTCAATTGAGCTTTTGCGCGCACAAAAGCTTGATTCTGTAAACTTTGATTGTGTGCTCAAAATGGTCAGCTGGAAAGAGGCTCTTATTGTTAAGGCTCCCCTAAAATAGTTGGTGGAAACGGCCAAAATTGTCGAAGGAATGTCAAAAAAGAGCGAATTTCGCACAAGTGAGAATGAGGCATAAAACTTCAAGTTCAAATTTTCGAAGCAATGTGAAAAAAAGAGCGAATTTCGCGCAACTGAGATTGGCGAATTCCATTTGTCAATCAGTCACTGCGCACTGAGTGTATCCGCCACCGGCGTATCCAGCCCATGTGTCTGGGGGGGGGGGGTATTCAACCCAGGTCAGCCCGCCGGGGGCGAAAATATCCCACCAGGTGCCACGCCCAAAAACGTTTATGTTGAGCCTTCAAAACATTTTTTCTGTACTACCAACGAATAACAAAACCGAACTCTGGGATTCCCCAAAAACGTTTGAATTATAGCGAATTCTATAGGTGGTACCAGTGCAAAAAAAATATTTTTATCTCTTTCTTACGCAAGCTAGTAAAAAAAGACACAACTATACTCAGTGCGCACTATTCCTTCCAACAGAATTCGCTATAAATGGCATGTGGGCAGCGTGGACACTGTGCAAACTACAGTGACTCTATTACCCACAGTGGCGACAATTGCTGTCTTATTTTTGATTGGTTCTAAAATCCCATGTATTTATATTGAAAACGCCGCCATCTTGTTCCCAACCTCTTGTTACTTTCAAATATGAATATATGGGATTTAGGTGAACATCCATCATAAATCATGAAAAGCAACGTATTTGATGAACCTAATACTGGTCATCAAATACGTCGATTTCAATTTGTTATGATAGATGTCCATTTAAATCCTATATAGACCCCTACCTATTAATATTTAAAAGTAACAAGAGGTTGGGAACAAGATGGCGGCGGGACCTCTATTGTCGCCACTGTATGTAAAGGTTTATTTAGCCACTGTAGTGCAAACTAGAAAACAGCACAAGTCTGTTGTGGAAGAAGAATGGGATCCAACGTCAGTCTTAAGATCGGCAATACTAATACTTGGCAACATGGGAGAAGTTTGACTGTTGTACAGGGTGGCGCAAAATGAACGTTATGATTTGAATGCTTTATAACTTTTTTATTTTTAAGTGAATTGTTAAAATATATTTTTTTTTAACACAGTTTATAAATGGAGAGAATTTTTGAATCAAATGTGAAAAATGACATCTCGCAAGTGTCTGCCATTTTCTGCTTCGCAAAGTCGTGCTTTTTCCGACACATGTTGCATATCTTTTTGCAAAATTTCAGGAGTTATGACACGGATTTCATTACGTGGTCTTCCGGCACCACGGAGGTTCCTAACTGAACCTTGTTGCTGCAAATTTGCAACCAGACGATTTATTGTTGACACGGAGGGTCCAACACGCACATTAAAATACCGACGATATGCACGCGGCGTAAGAACAATAATTCCATTCGCAAAGTAAAATTTAATGATTTTTGTTCGTTGTATCGTGTATTGTTCCATTTTAAATTCCCCAAGTCTTCTTTACAAAATTCTAATACGAAAGAGAAGTTAAAAATTTTAATAAAAAAGTTATAATACAATCAAATCATAACGTTCATTTTGCGCCACCCTGTATAATAGTTTTCTCTTCATACTATACTGTACTGTTATTTTACTATGGGCCGGTTTCTCAATAGTGAGTCACCTCCGGGTTGGTTTTAACTCCAGGTTAAACGTGCCCAGGGCTCCAGTTGCAATATTTACCTTGGCCTGGAGTTTTGCTTAACCCGGAGTTGACTTGCTATTGAGAAACTGGGCCTATAACATGAACGAAATTGAAATAGGAAAGGTGTTAATAGTATATTACATACCGAGTAGGGAAGTGTTTCATTACTGTCGAGAGATTTATATAGTCAATCGAGACGCGAAGCGTCGAGATTGACTAATAATCTCGAGACAGAAATGAAAACTTCCCTCCGAGGTTTGTATACTGTTTTATTTGCAAGCACACCATTAATTATGATTCGTCAATCAATTTTTTTAATATTAAAAAAATAAAACAAACATGCCAAAATGTGTCATTCACTGCTTTGACGTTTTTACCTGACATGTTTTCATTGTAACCAGCAAAGGTAAATAAATTAGAGTGAGGGAAATCGGTGAGGGAAGTCGAATAGGGAAATCGGTGAGGAAAATCGAAAAGGGAAGTGACACAAGTAAAGTGTCACTTCCAAATTTTTAAAAAGTCAGTAATAACAAGATTACATATATGATTGCAAATAAAATATATAAATGACGGCCACCGGCACTCTCCACCGTCCGTTTAATTAACGGCCGCCGGCCGTGATTTTCAAACATACCCCTATATAGAAAGAGTGTATGACATATAAAAATGTAAAAAATAGATTTTTTCTATGACGGGAAAAAAGTAGACTTTTTGTACCTGTTGACAGGGGCAAAAGTGTCACTTTTTCTATTATGGGAAAAAAGTGATTTTTTTTCCCACGGTAAAAAAGTAGGTAACAGGCTCCAGTCAATTTTTTTTTTCGAGGGAAAAAAGTAACAGGTACCAGTCAAATTTTTTTCTCAAAGGGAATAATGCAGAGATGGAAAAAATTGAGATTTTTCCGTCACAGAAAAAAATTGTGTAATATACATGGGAATAAAGTAAGATTTTAGCGCTCGCGCTAAAATCTAGTCTTTTTTTCCCTTGTATAATAAATAACTAAGATTTGTAAGATGTAGGGTACCTATATATTTTTCGTCCATCGCAATAATGATCTTGGGGGGGGGGGGGGTAATTACCCCCATTACCCCCCCCCCCTTGTATACGCCGGTGGTATCCGCATCTTTTTCTAAAAGCATGTAACTAAGGATAAGGATACATTTTTTTGCACTTGTTCGACAAATGGAAACCGCTAAAGGTACGGTTTGTTAGGATCAATGAACTATAGTTAAAAACTGGAATGCGCACACATTGCCATATCTGCCAAAAAAATGTAGCCATGACCATATAGGTATGACGTACACCCGTTTTCTCACGTCAGAAGACGGGTGTACGTCATACCTGAACCAATGACGACGTTTACGTTGTCAGTTGTGCGTCGCGTACTATCCTAACAAACCGTACCTTAAAGGTACGGTGTA